CATAAATAGTGAAAAGTGGGTGTTACATTGTACAGTGGCATAATGTACACCTCTGCCTACCCCTTCGGGGATAAAAGGCGTGATGTTATGTTATAACTTAAAATATACAAACATATAAAAAAACTATCCTACTTCTTCAGTGTCAATATAATTAATATAATTACATAAGAATTGTCTTTTTTCTAAAGCAGTTTGTACAATACTTGTGTTGATGGAGACTCCATCATCACAAGCTACTGCTTCCTCCTTTACTTCTGAAGAGCCCTCATGTATCAGTATAAAATTATGGAGTATACACGCAACAGATATAAGTAGGTGAACTGATTCCACCTTCACAATGTCAATATGATTCAACTTCCTAAACCTCTCCTTCATCAATTCAAAAGCGTGACCAATATAACTACGCGTTTTCCAATGAATCTCATTGAACTTCATTTCCTCGCTTGTCAACAACTCCTCACTCGTAAATGGAGTGATTAGATTTTTCTTCAATTTATACTCAGAGTCCCCTAAAATATGATTCTCAAACTCAATAAAATTCTTCAACTCATGTGAAAGAGTGCTCTCTTTGAAGACTCTATTTTTTCTAGTTTTACCTACTTCTCCTATATGAATATCTAAGAACATTAACGATTCATCACAGACAGCTTGTAAGAGAATTATTTCTGGCTTATCTTTTTTATTTCTTTTCGATCCAACTTTAAATCGGCAGGCATCTATGAAGCCTACGCAGTTGGGAAACTTAAACCTACTATTAACCTTTATTCTAGTTATGTGTTGTTCCTCAACAGACGGCCAACTAATGAAACTGTATCTATGTTCAGTAAGTATAGTGCCTATCTCATTGAATATGTAGCTCACAGATGATTTATGCAGACCAAACAATTTACCAATTTCATTATAAGAACAATCACTCACCATTAACCAAAGAAACACATGAACTTTTTTTTCTAAAGAGATGTTGCCAGGTTTTACATATTTCTTCAAAAAGTTTATAAGTGCCTGAAATTAAAATAAACAAATATTTAGTTATAATCTTATCTAAAAACCAAAAATGCTTTGTTCTTATAGGGTCATTGAGATAATGTAATGGCCCTTGTGGACAAGGGCCACAATGGACATATTCCAGCTAATGATGATGAGATAATTATAATTCTAACATTTTTTAACAATTTATTTAATTTAAATTATTTATTAAATTTATTGTTTCTGTCAAAGCTTGCATTTGCTACTCGCAGTACTACCTAGTATAGTAGTAGTACCTACTAGTACTACCTATTTGATAATAGGAAGAAATCCGTAGGCGAAAACATAATTCTTAATTATGCAGTATAATAAAATAAATAATTACCTGAACAGTACTTTTCTTGATCTTGAACCAAGCTGAATAATCTGCATCCGTAAAATTGCGAACAGAGTTTTCATAAAATCCTTTCAGACGTCTCGTAACAGGTACCACACCGGGACTTTGATTTTCTTCAGCTAATGATGTCAGATCAAATTCCTTTTCAACAGCAGTACTGAACATATTCAAATTATCATTGTTTTCACTGATAACATTAGCTGTTGCCACAATTAGTCTGTTCATAGTACATGCATGATCACTGTCCAAAAACATGTCCATGATAAATTCTTTCTGGAAATTATTCATTCTAATCGATTGTAAATTGCAACTTAATGAAGCCAATAAATAAAACACAATTTATGTAGGCGAAACTTCCCTTATATTTATTATACTCTTTGGGCGAAACAACAAAAATATAATATGTTGTTTGTCTTGTTTTCATTTCATGTTTTGGCCTCGTTAATCAAATGTCAAATAAAAAAAGTGACACAAAATTATTTTGACAGCTAAACTCAATTTTACGATTCTTTACACTCAGCATTTGTGAACTTTGGGTCGAAAACGATAAACAGAAAAAGATTATTTCGTTTCTCAAGAATTTTGAGCATTATTTATATTATCATGAAATATCTCATATCATTCTTTTATAAATTTTGTCTGATTTGTTTGTTAAATTCAATTCAGAACAAAATGTTGATTGAATGAGAAAACCGTTCAGTTTGAGTCGACGAGTCCAACACTACCCGTCGAAAAAGTCAAATCCATGGTCGATCTATTTCTTTTCAAACGTCATGACTCATGTCAACAGTCAACTTCAAAATCTCAATCAAATTATCGCTAATTCGCTACGCTATTGACCGGAACGATAGAAGCGGCCAGCTGATAAGATAACAGCTAAAAACGGGTTTTACTATATAATTTAAGAACAATCTTGTTTCAATTTACTATAAATAAGACTGATGTATTAAAAAACATAAAATATTTATTTTATGACGAAAAATTTTAATACTTGATTAATTTAGAAACTTCAGTTGTAATCACTTGAAACTTGATACCTACTTAATTAAACACCTGTCTATAGCAGTTTACCAATATTCATTTCTTAAGAATTTTTGGTAGTGTGCGATCTCGCCTAAAGCCAATATCAATGGCTAAGGATGTCGCATTTAACTTTTCTGGGCAAGAAAGGTATGTAGTATGTAGACTTTACCAATAATTTCTTTTTTAGTATTTATTTTCAGCTATTGTGGTTAACTGGGCCTCTAAGTGGTATTTATGACTATAATTTATTTATAATTTTAATATTTTATTTATTAAAAGTTATTACTACTTCTATAAATTTTGTTAATATCACATTTCAGCATTAAAAATGAAAAATTAATATATCCAGCTGCAACCAGAAACCAAGAACCAATTTTGCAAGTCTTGAAGAGGTTTCTTATCTGTGATGTTGATTCTGTTGAAGATGAAGAAAGCCCATTATTCTTGGAGATAGCATCTGGTTCTGGGCAGCATGTGGCTCATTTTGCTCCTCACTTCCCCGGAGTCAAGTTTCAACCATCGGAAGTGGATGACAGTTTACTAGGCAGTATAACTTATTATGCTGAGAACTGTAAGACAAAAAACATTCTTCTTCCTAAACAAATTGACATCTGTAAAAAATTATCCAGTTATGGTTTTGAAGAAAATAGTGTTGACTACATGTACAGTGCTAACATGATTCATATTAGTCCATATGCATGCACAGTTGGGTTATTTGAAAATGCTGGAAGCTTCCTAAAGCCAGATGCACTGATGATTACTTATGGACCTTATAGCAAAGACGGTGTAATTACACCCGAGAGCAATGTTCAATTTGATGCATCACTCAAAGCACGAAATCCTGCTTGGGGTATACGAGATATCACAGATCTAGTCAAACTAGCAGAACAAAACAATCTAACTTTAATGGACACAATCGAAATGCCTGCTAACAACAAAACTTTAATATGGAAAAAGAATTAAATTACACAGCTTTTATACTCTATAGTTTATACAGCATTTTTAAAAATTCATGATACTGCCTTTATGTATTCATAATATACAGTAGTATAATAATATATTAAATAACATTGTGGTTTTATTTCACTAATATCTACAAACATGATTTAGTATGTCCCTGAGTTAATTGCATACCTGTAAGTACTTGATTATGATGTCATTCTCTTGAGAGACTGCTTCATTGATCGAGTGGTCGTAAAAGTGACCATAAAGTAGTGGGTCTCGGGTTCGATTCCCGACCAATAAAAGATGTGAAATTACTAAGAAATTGTTGTGTTTTCCTTTGGAGAGTAGATTGTCACATCCCACTCAGCCTACTGAAACGGGAGGCTATCGTTTTATTTATTTAGGTAACTCGGCTCCTATTGATGGTAACATGATGTTTTGTAGCACATAGCCTCCCTCGATTAATGAACTATGCAAAACAAAAAGTTATTCCATTCAGAGTTTATAAGATATTAGGGCAGAGAAAATGGAACTCCAAAAGACTTGATGTGATTGTAATGGAACCGGATTTTTGTGAAATATTATTTAGTTACAAAAATAATATTTAAATAGACGATTCTCGTTATTTCTAAATAACATGGGGCACGAAAAAATCTCACGATTGTTTGCATTGAAGAAAGACCAGTATCTAAGTGAAATTTAAAAAAAAGTTAACAAGCAAAGCAACTTGTTTGTTGTTGTCAATTGTCAAACCTGTCATTTTGTCAAGCATAAGTAATTAAGCATTTGTCGATTTTGCGTAATTTTAGTGAATATTTGTAATATAACAATAAGTATTTCATCTTTATTCATTTGTATGTCGCTACTAGTAATAGGTTAAAATCCATATATAGTTGTAGTAGGGCTTGGAAGTCAGTTAAAAAAATGGCAAAACGTTCAGCTGCAGAGGCTTTTGAAATGGAAGCTCAAGAAGTTATAAAGAAAACTGAAGGAAAAAAGCACTCATTAGATTCGGACGAGGAAGACAGCGGTGCCGAAGAGGAAAGAAACAATGTTCTTCATGCAGATGACATTGAAGGTGAAGAAGATGGAACTGGTGGGATGGAAGGTGAAGTGAGTACCTATAGGAATAGTTTGATGTTAAATCTTAATATACACAATAATGATAAGGTTCGAGCTCAGTCCAATGACCTGAAATAGGCTAGATGTATGTAGGTAGCATTTAAAAATTATAACCTCAAATAGTAAACTATAGAATAGGTGTTTGAATGTTTAACATGAAGACTAATAATATTTATCTATCTAATGTAATTTCTTACTCTCTAGAAAACTTTATTTTTACATTTTCATAATTTTATTCAATTATTATTTAGATTACAATCACTCCGTTCAACATGAAAGAGGAGCTTGAGGAAGGTCACTTTGATAACCAGGGTCACTATCACTGGAAAAAAGAGAAAGAGATAAGAGATGGTTGGCTTGATAATATAGACTGGGTTAAAGTCAAGGGTAGACCAGAAGATAAATACAAAGTTCACAAAGATGATGAAAATAAAGGACTTGGTGATGAGTCTAGTAGTGAAGATGAAGAACCAGAAGAAAAGTTTGATTTACTACAAAACTACAAAGAAATCTTTAAACATATGAAACCCAAAGAAACAATTGCAAAAACCCTCCAGCGTCTCGGTAAGTCACACAACAACACTGAAATTCATAGTTATTTAAACTGTCAAACACCGCATGGTCACCGGTGACCACAGCCTATTGTTCTTTAATTGTGTCCATAATGACGGTACTCAACAAGTTAATTTTTTTGTTACTTGACAACTAACTCTATTATGGTCTTATCAGTGGCTCAGATAGAACACAATTGTCATTTTTTGTTTGTCTATTGCAGGTGCAAGTTCAAAAATTTCTAGTGCTGAGCGTTGGAAAAGGAAAAAAGCTGGAATTGTTGATGAAAACAGTAAAATTGTTACAAGAATTACAGAACTTGCCAACCAAATTCTCACAAAATTGGGTAACATGGACATTTACCAGGAAACTTATGAGAAAATTGATACAATCATAAAGAGACAGGAGAGTAAAAATGATGATGCTGATTTAGATATGTATGCTGATGATTTTGATCAGAAGGAGAAGAGTGTGTTGGATAAAAATAGCACTGATGCTAAAGAAACTGAAGATAAAACTGAGGAGGAACAAGAGCCAGAATTGAAATGGGAGTTTAAGTGGAATCAGAATGATGATGAAATATCCGGGCCTCACACTACTGAGCAAATGCAAAAATGGTCATCAGAGGGGTACTTCAAAACTGGTGTTTGGGTAAGAAAACAAGGGGAAGACAGTCAATTCTACACATCCAACAGAATAGATTTTGAATTATACATGTAAATCATGTACAGTAAACATTATACAAAATGATATAAAATTTTAATAAAACAGTTCCACAAAAGCAACTTTTAATTCAAACATATTTCTTTCGACTTTTAAATAACTTATTCGTAAAACTATAAATACTGATATCAGTTAACAATTTAGCAATTTGGTTAATTAAAACAATAAATAGTGTGATAACTTGAACAATAACAAACTGTGATATGGAAGTACCAATTTCTAGCCAGCTTCCAGTGTTCTTAACATTGTACAGCAGTTGTATACCCATTAAATTGGAATATATCAGTACTATTATTATTAAATATCCAGTTGGTGCCTGAAATCAAAATAGACATTAGTGAGCACATAAAATAATAACAAGAATACAACATAACGCATTTGAGACTTCATGTACGTAACTTCATTAGTGTACATGGTAAGTAACTTATACATAACTTGTACATAAGTGCATAATTGTCTCAAGCAATCCTAAACTAAGAAGTGAGCATAATAATATCACTATACATTGTTGTGCTACTCTTATAAATTTATCATAAAACCTGGTTATTAAATCAGAGGTCCCTGGCTTGGTTGTCGCGCATATTATGACCGAGACAATAGTCTTTTTTTTTTTTAAGGGGGGAAAATCATCGAATGACTGCTCCCGCCTGGGTGAGGCGGGAGGGAGTGTCAGACTCTTACTGACTAAAAACC